AAAGGGGACTGGACCTTATGCCCGATATGACCTACTTTTATCTAAGGGATCAGCTTTATCACGCAAGTGATTTTTTGGCACAATAAAGTAATGGCGTAACACACAGCATTCTATGTCTAATATCCACAGCACAATGCATCTCAATACACAAACCACCATACACCCCAATACACACAGCACCATGTACCCTGATACACACAGCATTCTACCCTAATGCATACAGAATACTGCATTCTACTAAAAATCACAGCGACATGTACCCCAATACAAATAGTATTTTACCCCAATAAATACAGCATCAATGCCCCTAATAAACACAGGATCATGCACCATTATATACACAACACCATACACCCCAGTTCACGCACCACCATGCACTCCTATACACACACTTTGCAAGAGAATTTGCAGTTTGCAGGGGAAGTTTCCCTTAGCTTAGTGAATGCGGTGAAAGTTCATTTTGTAAAGAATACCCAATCATGTGCAAGGAAAATAAAAAAAACAGCATTTTTTATTGAAAATGATTCAGTGATGGAAGTCAGCAGAGCTTCCCCACATTCACTAAGGGGAAACTTGCAAAGTGAACAGCTACGTGAGAGCTGATCGTTCAGGCACTCGAGGGCAGGGCCGGTGCAAGGATTTTTGCCAACTCAGGCGAAGGTGCAATTTGCCGCCCCCCCCCCGACCATGAAAAACATTGAAAACCTTTTTACATTGTCGATTTTAAATCGACTAATTGTTGCAGCTCTATATTATTGCTGGGATTTGTAGTCCTCTATAGCTGGTGGTATTCTCCATTGCGCTGTATAATGATACCACTGACCAGTTATAGAGGAGCTACAAATCCCAGCAATAATACATTATACAGCGCAATGGAGAATACCAGCAGCTATAGAGGAACAACAAATCCCAGCAATAATATATTAACCAGCCTGTATAATGTATTATTGCTGGGATTTGTTGTTCCTCTATAGCTGCTGGTATTCAGCATTGTGCCGCTGTATTATACAATGCACAATATAATACACAATACAATATACAATGCACAATACAATACACAATATATTATACAATGCACAATACAATACTGTATTGTATTGTGCATTGTATATTGTATTGTATTGTGCATTGTATTGTGTATTGTCAATACACAATACAATATACAATGCACAATACAATACAAAATACTACAATACAATGCAGCATACCACGTGCACTTTGTCTTTGTTACATTACATACCGCTCCCACTTCAGCCAGCTCCCGATCCCGATTCCCGATACGAGTCCTCCGATGTGTCTGGTCTGGGGTGGGTGACCATGAGAGGGTGAACCAAAAACGCCTCCTCGCTCGGTTCGAACTTTCAAATGTGTGCACCGGGCGGCTCCCGGTTCCCTCAACAGGTCGCCGTCGCCTCCAGGATGACGCCGCACTGCCTGCTGGTGCGTCCGGTCCATCCATTGCTCCGCCTCCTGCAGCCCTCGCTCCTTCACATGCGGCTAAGTGGCCAGGGGAACCAGGGGTGGGGCCACTTACATCACTCACTGATGTAGGACGTAGCCAAGGACGAGACAGTGAGACTGTCACTGAGACGTGAGACTGCACAGGTCAGCGCCGCTGCGGCCGGCGGGGACTCGTCCTTCAGATGCAGCCCGCAGCGGCAGCCCACACTGGTATCGATCGGGCGACTGTCACTGTCAATTTTCTGCCCTGTTCCCTGGCGCCGTAAGGCAAGTGCCCATGTTGCCTTGCGCTAGCGCCGGCCCTGCTCGGGGGCACTGCCCGAGGGTCCACGGCCAGGGCCGCAGACAGGGGGGTACATGGCATCCCTCCTGTACCAGACTGGGCCCCATCAAGTCAGCAGGGGGGGCCCGAACCCAGCACAGGCTGCCTTCGGTGAAGCAAGATGGTCCTGCTCACTTGCCATGGTTACCAGTTGATTGGGAGGCTCCTCCCCTCCAGGGACTGCATAGAAGGAGAAGAGGAGCCTGTCAATCAGCTTGTTACCATGGAGGGGGCGGGACCGTCCGCTAGGCAGACCCATCAGGGTCCCGTCTGCTTGCCTGGGCTGTGCTGATCAGCTGAAGAAAGGACCGATTACTTTTTAGTGCAGTTGGCTCCGCCCCCATGCACAACCCACAGCCCATTGTATCAGGAGTGGGAGTCCTATCATGAGGTAAGCTGCAGCGGGTGAGCAGCTTAACAGAGAGTAGGGGAGGTTGGTGAGCAGTGTAAGATGAGGGAAAAGAGTGGCAGCCATCAAATCCTCTTCCAACGCTGTTAATTTATGTACCCTCTGCATCCCTCTTTCTACAGTGTTCCCCTCAGCACCCCTGCTGAGCAGTGTAGGAAGGGGGGTGAGAAACATTAGTAAAAGGTTACAGCAGGTGCAGAGGTGGGCAGTGTAGAAAGAGGGAAGCAGGGGGTGCAGAGGTGGGTAATGTAGGAAGAGGGATTCAGGGGGTGCAGAGGTGAGACTTGTAGGAAGAGGGATGCAGGGGGTGCAAGAATGTATATGCGGCGGGGGTTGTGGTGCTTGCATATGGGCAGAGCACAAGGAGGCCTCAAAATCTCATATTGCCCCATGTGTTGTCAGGCCGCCCCTCTGAACAGCCTATTTGCCTTTGGTAAATCAACCATAATTCACGTTAATAGGCACCAATGCTGCGTAATATGCATGGCACCAAACATCCCAATACACACACCACCATGCACCTCAAATACACACACCCCAATCCAACCCTAATACACACAACACAATACACCCCAGTACACACACCGCCATGCACACAAATGCACTCCGCATCATACACACCAATACACACTGTATCCTGTTGATTAATACATACAGCACCAAACACCCTAATACACACACCACGTTGTACCCCAAATACACACACCACCATCCACCCCAATACACACTGTACCCTACTCTGTAATACACACCACACCATGCACCCCAATACTCATAGTGCCATGTACTTGAATACTCACAGCGCATGCACTTATAACTTCTAATACTTACTTCAAGGCTACCATGAGTGGTTGGCAGGCTGCAGGGAGATTCAGCTTGACTTGATTTTTACCAGGCTGCTCAGTAAAGGGATACTCCAAATAATTTTCCTCATCACTTCTCTCTTCACTTCAGTCTGTCTTTAAGCAGTGCCAGAAACTCAGGACACGCCTGCCCTGGCAACCGCTGGCACTCTGCATAGATAAATCAGGAGAGAATAACTCACCCACCACACTGTAGCCACAAACATACATAATTAACCACTTGAAGTCCGCGGTGTTACACCCCCTTCCCATCCAGGCCATTTTTCAGTATTCAGCGCTGCGGTACTTTTGACATTTGTTCCATCATGCAACGCTGTACTGAAATTAATTTTATACCATTTTTTGGGGACAGAGCTTTCTTTTGGTGGTATTTAATCACCACTGGGGTTTTATTTTTTTATATATTAAGGAAAAATTACCGAATATTTTTTTTTAAACTGTTTCCCCTAAATTAAATGATAAATAATTTATTATTACCCAATTTTTTGCTAAAATATAAGAGATGGGGTAAATAGACACCAAACATGTCAAGCCTTAAAATTGCGTGCGAAACCTAAAAAAACTACAATACCCAAAATTGCCCATAGGCGACGCTTTAAACGCTTTCACCACTCATCAGTTTAGTGTTATCATTGATTGATGTCTCTAAAATGATTGCTCTCACTCTGACGTTCGCGGCGATATGTAACATGTGTAGCGCAATTGTCATTTTCGTACGCTGGCGCATTGAACGCATGTTTACATTTATATGTGCGTAAACGTGGGGACTTCAACATTTTTTGTGGTTTTTTACAACTTTTTTTATATGAGATTTTTCTTTTTTACGGTTTTTATTTTTTTGTACACTTATTGTTATTGCTATTACATAGTGGGATCCCCCTATATAATAGCAGAGGCACACTGACAGGTCCTCTTTATGGAGACATTAGGGGTCTATAAGACCCCTAATGTCACCTGGGGACCCCAAAAGAAGCTGATGAAGCAGAGGTCTGCTTCATCAGATTCTTCTCTCTGGCTATAGCAGCCAGATGACTGACAGGTGAATGCGGAAGTGTTGTAAGATTCTGATCTCCCTCCCATCTTACCTCTTGACGCCCTCCCGAGCCGGTCCCAGGCCACAGATGGGCTAGCGGATCCCGGGATTGGTCAGGAAGGGGCACCACTCATGGCGGCGGCGGCACTCGAGGAGGGGGAGGGGGTGCGCGCAGCCAGCAAGAACATACATACGATCGCTAGGCTATAGAGCCGCCGATCGTATGTATGTCAAACAGCCGGTAACGGCTGTAAAGAACGGGCGGATTTTTTCTAGGGGGCGCGCGCGAGCAGAAAAAAAAGCAGCCTGGAGACGGCAACCCGCAAATGTGAGTCCGACATCTGTTTTTTCACAACGGGCAGACAGCAAGAGGTTAAAGCCCTCAGGAAATGCAGGCCGTGGGTATCTACCCAGTTTAAACCCCCTAAAGCAGCAATCTGATTGGATGCAGGCATTGTTCAGGTATTTTGTGAGCCAGCGGGGCCGACTAGTAAGATACTGATGCTCGGCCTAGTGGAAGATTCCCCCATCCACACAGTTTAGCGTAGATGGAGAAATCTGTTGCACTTTTTCCACCTGACCACAGAAAATCTGCAGATAATCTATAGGTGTATGGCCAGCTTTAGCTAACTGCCTTTTGAGCATTAAGTTTTATTTTAATTCCCTTTGTTCACCATTTCGTTGAAGGTAGATAGTGGATTAAATTAAGTCACTTTGTGATAGATAATAAATCAGGCATACAGGACATCAACCTGGTGTTTACAAGGTCAGTATTTGACAATCATATAATCATTTACCATTTATTTGTAGTTGTTTATTGAGGGGGGTCAAGGAGAAAATCATAAGTCCACAGGTAAGGGCTATATAACAGGATGCTGTGGAATGGGATAGTTCATCATTTCAGGTCTACTCTGAGGTGACCCATCACAATGGAGCGAGTCTGTGCACTAGCACTGTGTATGCTATTGTCATTGTGCTCTGCCACAAGCCCTCCAATAAATCCCATTTTAACCCCTTTAAACTGCAATGAAACAAAACATGCTGAACTAGCAGCAGACCTGATCAATGAAGACCGTGACAAAGGATTTCTCATAAGGCCTTTCCGCACTAAGTCCGTTTATGAACAGAAGGTAAGTGAAATTCTTGTAGTAAGAACACACGATGGTCAAGAGGTCCCTGGTAGATGGATTGTGTCTATTTAGCTAGATACTTTATTCTATCTAAAGTACAGATCGACATTCAGTGTCTCTGCATTCTTCTTATGGCAGGACCCACCCTGCTATGGCATGGTCATAGGCTCATAGCAAGTGCTGGCATTTTCAAGTATCTCTTTTCTGAGTGCCTGCAACTTTAAGAAGGTTTTTTGTCATTTTCTTGTGTTCTTCTTGCTATATTTAACTGCAGCTCATGAACCTAAAACATTTCTTCAGGCTAATATTATTTATTATTTAGTAATACAATTTTAAGGGTTATTTCCCTTTGCAATAAAATGCACTATAGGGTCAATTAGGGGTGTCCCTAACTTTTTTACCTCCTGAGGTAGGGGGCCATTGTGGGTGGTAAATCCTGGCAACCAATGATGTCACTGATTGCCAGGAGGTGGGCAGGACACCAGCCAGAACATCCCAGGTTACTAAGAGCCGGGCAGAGAGATGTGTACATCTCCCCATCCAGATCTTAGCAACCTGGGACACTTTAACCAGAAAGGGGGAGGCCGTTACATTGCAAACATTGTGCTCATGCTGCCTTGTTATAGGGACGGCCTTGCAGTCAAAGGTGCCCTGTACGTTTAGAAACACTGTGTAGTGTAGCAGATTACCAACAGCCTGGCACAACAACTACTGTAGTGAGTGATCATCACCAACCTGCCTGTGATCTGGGATGCCCCATACATTGAACACGCTGGGCATGCACAGGTCTTGAAAGAGGGGTAGTGGTTGTTCCAATAATGCTGGGAGTTGGCTCAATATCCCAGATTACAGGCAGGATGGTGCTGATCACTTTCAGTAGTAATTTCTCAGCCAGGCATCTGATTGCAAAGGTGAACTAACCCTTTAAACAGATATAAATAAATAAAACATTTAGCTGTATGTATCAAAGCTTTTGCAGTTGTATATTTTATATTTTACCAGTTTTGCACATTTCAATTGGAGACTGTACAAAAACCAAAGCAATTAGTATGTATCCGAGTCCATATAGAGATGTCATGGCAACATGATGCTACAGAAATGATCAGCTCTTTTGTCACTGCATGCATGCACAAGGTACTTTAGCACTGTACATACAATGACATTAAAAAGATGAGGCATTTTAAGACTTACTGGTCTTGACATGGTCAGAGACAAACAAGTCTATTTCTCATAAAGTCCGACATACTGATGCTTCATAGTTACAGTAATGTAACTTTAAATATCCAATAAGCTTCAGAACTATTTTTATATATATATATAAGTTTCCACTTAACCCGACTCTGACAGAGTATTTGAACTAAATACAGGAAATGTACTCTTTTAGGAAAGGCTTCTCAATATATATATATACATACATGTAAACATTTTGTGAATGATATGCTTTCTTTTTTAATGAGTCTTTAGTTTGCTGTATCTTTTTAAAGATTTACAATTTATACAAATCAGAGAAATGGCTATGGGTAAATAAAATAATGCATTTTGTCAGGGGCGTCCCTACAATTTTCACCGCCTGAGGCCGTGGATAGGGGGTGTCTACTGGTGGTGCACGTTACTGGGAGAAGGGGTTGTTGGTATTGGTGGCGCATGTTACCAGGAGGGGTTCACAGTGCCTCTGTCCAGTGTCCCACCCTGCTCGCTAACGTCACTGGTTGCCAGGAGTTGGGCTGGACCTCAGCCAGTGTGTCCCACTCAGCTCCTGGCAACCAGTGACGTCAGTGAGCTGGGCAGGGTGCCAGCCAGAACATCACAGGTTACCAAGAGCTCTTAGCAACCTGGGACACTCTGGCAGGAAAGGGGACAGCAGGCACACCTGCAGCCCCCCCCCCCCTCATGTGACCCAATAAGATGCCACCTTAGCCAACTGCCTCACGCTGCCCCATTATAGGGACGGCTCTGCTTCTTGTTTCTAAGGACATCATCTCTACATTTTTTACCTAAAGTTATACTTGAACGTTTAGGGCTCAGTTAACACCAATGTGCTTGCAACAACACATGTTTACTGCAGACATTTTCATGTGCAATTTGCAAAAAATGCATGATGTAAAATGAAAAATGCATGGCTGAATGCATTGCATAGTAAAAGTGGTGTTTCTAAAGCCCAAATAAAAAAAATTCATATATTAACGCTCATCAGTCCTTAGATGAAGTGGCTGTGTTAGTTTTCTTTTTCCAGGCTATTTTTCCTTTATTTTCACTTGATAATTCTGCGAATATAAAGGAATAACAATTTTTGTCCTATGGTGACTATGCTTACTCATTCTACTGTATGTATAGAGGGGGTCATGGTTATCACCCAGGCTGGACTTCAAACATGGCTTCATTAAATGGTGAGGGTGGTGACATTAGTAGTTTACAGAAGGAAGGCAACATTGTTTGTGCTTTCAGTTCAGTTGACAGGAAGTGACAAGGGCATTGCATTTCTGGCAAGATCAACAGTTATTTTCTATAGTTTCTTAAAATATTCTCCCAAAAAGCAAATATATGCAGTGAAAACCACATCTAAGGACTGACAAGCTACAATACATTCAGTTTTGTTCTTGTGTTTAGTTATCCTTAAAAGATCCTGCAAAGTCCTGCTGTTAAAGTGTGCTAAAGAGTTGTATGTAGGACTGATCAAGTGTGAACAAGTCTATGAGGGTTACGGTATTTGCCGGCGTATAAGGCGACTGGGCGTATAAGACGACCCCCTAATTTTTCTGTTAAAACATAGGTTTTGGGCTATACTCGTCGTATAAGACGAGTATAGCCAAAAATAATGTTTAAATACACCCACTAACCTCAATGGCGGTATTCCCGAGTGTGGCTCGGGGTTAATTTTCAGTACCATAAGCGGTAACCCAGAGCCACACTGGGGATTACAGTCTCTTACCTTATTCACGATCCCCGCTGTGTCCTCAGTCTTCCGGGTTCTGTCCCTTGCGAGCTTCCACGTCGCAGGGGGGAAGAACCGGCGGGAATTTTAAAAGGAAAAAAAAATAAAAATTAGAACAAAAAAGGAAAAAAAACAAAAAAAATTAATCAGACCGCCAGGGAGGCGCTAATCTGTCAGGCCGCTGGATGTGCGGTAATACTGTATGTATGGTAGCTTTGGCTACATACAGTATACCGCGCTGAGCCTTTCACGGCGAGCAATGTACACAACCACTGCCAATCCGAGCAGGCTTTGTATTCATTAATAGAATGCATCGCTCGCCGTGATTGGCTCAGCGTGGTATACTGTATGTAGCCGAAGCTACCGTACATACAGTATTTCAGCACATCCAGCGGTATTGTATACCCGGCGTATAAGACGACCCCCGATTTTCGGGGGATGTTTTTAAGTCTAAAAACTCGTCTTATACACCAGCAAATATGGTATTCACATAGCTGCCGAAAACTCTAGCCGTAGCTTCGGCTGATCCTTCGGCTCACTTCGGCCGCCGGAGCCCTTCGGTTCAGTCGAACCAAAGGCCTGCTGTACAGGCTATTCACAATAGCCCATACAGCAGCTGAAGTGAATAGCCGAACGTCGTTCAGCTCAGTTCACTTCGACTCGATTATTCACTCGGCTGCCTTTGGCGTCTTAGTGAAAAACCCTCTATATATTCTGAAAACACAAACTATAAAGAAAAATAAAAAGCCAGATGGCAAACGCACAGACTTATTTCACAAATATCTTATCATTGGTATGCACAGTTGAGTAATGTTTTATTAGTCGTTATTAATTTCATTTTCTTCTCGCCTAAATACAGCTAGAGAATGTACCCGGTAGCTCTCTCTATTATATAGACTTTGAAGCCAAAGAGACAACATGCTCTGTTTTGAGTGGAAAAAAATGGAAAGACTGCAATGACTATATACCATTTCATGAAGAGGTAAATATAATTACACAAGAAAGATCTCCGTCATTACACAAAGCTTTTAAAGTTGTTCCAAACTGTGGGCTGCAGATCAAAATTATTTATTCAGCCACTCCAAGTGTGAAATTTGTGGCTGGAGTAAAATTTTAGGATGTCTAATACTTCTTTTTGGTGTGATAAATTAATTTTTGGTCCTTGTAAATGTACAACACATGCAATAAAAGTTATTTGTGGTAAAAAAAATATATATATATTATCAGTGAAAATGTTTGCCCCCAAACTCCTGCACTAAAAATAATCCAGCTGATTTTTTGGAATAAAATAATCAGCTCACTCTGTGAAGAAGGCCACATGGATACCACTGAACAGAAGTAATGAAAAGAGCTGCCCAGTGCTTAAAGCAGACCTTCACTCCAATAATACACTTTACTTCAGTGGAATTCCCCCTCTGCAATCTAAATCTAGACTTTCCCTTACTTCTTTTTCCAGAGACCACACAGCAAGTAAGAGGAGATCTTCCCAACAGGGAAATTGGCAGCAACAGAAACCTAATAGAAAATCTAACCCTTCGCAGCTCTATCCAAACATTTAAAAATGGCAAGAGTTCCAAATTATATAGGTTTTTATTTGTTCCAAGTCTCTGGGTTGCAGATCAGGATTATTTGATGGTATATGTCTAGATATTCAATATACAATACTTTGCTACAAAGTATTTAAAAGCAATCTGTCTAGATATAATTGTGGACATTTATCTACAAAATGCGTTTGTGTTAATGAGATATCGTTGGCTGAGAATTCCTCCACCCTTCCGTGTGTGTCGGATGCCTGGTCCCCCGCTGCGATCTGTGTTCCCTGTCAGCATAGAGTCACTTTGTAGGTAAAACATACCTGCAAAAAGAAGACACATACTGTATACTTACCTTTCTGGCTGTCTGTTCTTTTCAAAAGCTTGTGCTTCACTGCTCACTGTTCTCTGCATGTATACACACACTTTTGGGTATGTGAATAATGTGCTCCCCCCACTAAAGAACATATGAGCTTGCTGGAGGAACCACACCAAGCAGAGGGGGTAACAGTTATTTGTCCCATCTGATTAATCGAATACTTGCAGAAGATGGCGAGCAGAGAAGTGGTGGCTTTTCAAGAAAAGGGCCACTGGAAAGGTAAGTATATGGAGTCTTCATTTTAAATATGTTTTACATAGAAAGTGATCTTCTGCTGACGAACCCTTTGGAACCCTCTACTTCCAAAGACAGATCAGTCTTTCCCATATTTTTTTTTTTTGCTGGCAGGTTCCCTTAAACGCTGAAAAATATTATCAACACAGAGTTGAGTATTTAATGAATTCTAAGCAATCATTTATTTCATTGTAGGTAACTGGTGAATGCAAGTGTATCATGTACATATCAAAGCCATGGAGAATACTAAAAATATTGAATTACAACTGCACACTGGGTACAGGTAAGAGCAAGAATAATACACATCTAAAACATTCAAAAACACAAATGTAATACATTTCAGCTTACAAATGACCAGTCCTTGGATGTTGTGGCTGCATTAGTTTTTCAAGCTTTTTCCCTTTTATTTCCACTTGGTGATCCTGCAAGTAGTTGACTTCCTAACATTCACTTACTGTTCTGTGTCTATGAAGGAGTATTGTTGTTGTCACCCTGGGACAGTAAGAGCGTTCTGTGGACTCTGTAGTCCACAGAAGTGAAATGGACATGGCTAATGACACTGCTTAGGGTTTCAGTGCAACACAGACAGAAACTTATGAGCTCGCTGGATTTTTGGCAGATCATCCGGCATTTGTCTGCCCAGACATACACTTTAAGAACTACTGATATAATATCATCCAGTTTATGTGTTTATTTTTGTAATGCTTGCTGTCAAACGGCTCAAATAACACTTTCACACTGTGGGGTGTGTTCACTAAGCTGCCGAGGGCAGCCGAGTGAACAACCGACCCCAAGTAAAGTGAGCCGAACACTGTCCGGCAGCAGTAGATCTATGCAAAAAGTGTTAAAAAAAAACACGCTTTAACAGCGGTTAATACTCACCTGTGTCTTCCATGCGCGCTCCCGTCCGAAAATGTGAAGATCCTGGGGCGGCCGCAAAGCATCTTGGGGCGGGCGCATGCGCAGTTCACATTTTCGGCCGGGACAAGAGGAGAGACACAAGGTAAGTCTATGAACGCGTGCACCCGAATGCAGACACCGCGGAACAGGAAGTGCCAGCAAGCTCAGAGGAATCAGCGGTGGATCGGACACCCGCCGCAGCGCTGGAGGGACAGATGAAAATGACAGCAAAGAATAAGAAGATCGGATTAAGAAACATCATTTAAGGTAAGTGCTTTCATTAACATTGGGGTGAGGGGAAAAAATTGACTTTAATGTCACATTTATATCTCAAACAGAAACTTCGGATGGTCACATTCAACCACTGAGCTGTAACTTAAAAAAAATGGGGAGTAATATCTTCTCTTTTAGTCAAATAAAAGTACCCATACTAGAAAATCTCACCAATAACAGTGGAATAAAGAAGCATTTATATGCCCATGGTATATTCCTGACCTGTCCAGACATTCCCAGATTTTTCAATTGCATTATAACAACAAAAGGTTTTAAATGCATAGGTGAATCAATTCATTATGATAACTTTATCTCAAAGTCGGCCGAACGTGCTCAGCATGTTCGGCCGACCCAAAGCCACACGAAGCAAGCCAATGTACGGCTGATTTCAGCCGATATACGGCTGAAATCAGCCATACAAGCCTGAAGTGAATAGCCCAACAGCGTTCACTTCACTTCGGGTCGGTTGTTCACTCGGCTGCCTACGGCAGCTTAGTGAATAGCCATCTAACAGTTGCTAGGACAGCAAAGAGATTGTATAAAAATGTGAATGTTTTGTTCAGTATTTAATGTGAACAAACAACTGGTAAATGCAGAGAGGAGAAGTTATGCCTGGACAGTATAACCTTGTAGGCTCAGGGACAATTATTTCCTCTGCAGGCATTGTAGTTTCCATGTAACATATACATTTGTAATCTTTATAAGCAGAATATAGCAATCAGTGTGCAACGGAATAACTTTGCTTTTGTATTAGTTCCTTCCAGAAGCATTGTTTTAAGGTGCCCTGACTGTCCAACAATCATAAAGGATATAACTCCGAAAATTACAGCAAAAGCAGAACACATGGTGGAACAATTCAATAAAGACAGCAACCAGACCAATTATTTCAAACTTGATGAAATAGAACGAATAAGAACACAAGTAAGAGAAAGTTATTATGCTGTAAAATAAGGGCAAAGTGAATGTCTTAATGATGTATATAATGTAATATTTACTGAATAGGTTTGTTTTTTTAAAGTGGACCTTTACCCCGTTAACTAAAAATCTCATCGGTATGCAGCTCTGCATGCTGATATGAAATCCTCTTACATTATTTAAATTAACATCTTTTTCTTTTACTTACAATTACTGTTTTTCTACTTCATGGTCCTCTTAGGTATTAGTAGCCTATGCCTAAGACATGCGTCCTGGGAAGGTTACATAACAGGGCATTGCTGGGAAATCTCATCTGTAAACTGTAAAATCTCAGGGAAAGACATTTTGCTCCCCTGAGTTGATGTGCATGGTCACATGTCCTAGTCATATGTGTCAGAGTTCCAGGAAGTAAAGGGAGATGGATTAATCAGCCCTTAGTAAAAGTGACCACTGTAAGAAGAATGGGGAAGAAAAGAAAAGTATGTAAAGAATACAAAGCCGGCAATTATCTAGAAGTATCTGGTTGCAGATTTCCATTACTAAACATTTCTAAAGGTGTCTTCGTCATTTTAAAGAAATAGGTAAAGTTCCTATTTAATATTATCAGGTTACACCTAGATGAGGACTGGTAACACTAAACTGTAAATAGATGAATGTTTTGTATTTCAATTCTTATGCAAAGATTTGAGAGAATGAAAATGTGGTAATAATGAAAAAGAAATATATTTATGACACATTAAAAACAATATTATTAATTTTTATCATAGTGTTTTGGGAGTAAATTGCTCAACCAACCTTTCTTTCACAAGTCATTCAACCCTTCAGCACTTGTTACAAAAGGATAGAGTGTTATTTCTCATATGGAAAATCTATTGATTCCACTACTATTGCCAAAGTGTTAATTTACTTGAGTGCCTTGACACTCTTCTTACACTGGATATTTCACATCAAATCTTTATAACGCAGCGTGTGCACCAGCATTGTTAAGTTAATAAAACAATGTATTAGTTAAAATTAAATTATATTCACAGAGCGGCCATAGCCTTTGAAATGCGCCAGCTAGGACACATATAGTTGTATTATTTGAACGTAGTTAGAAGGGAGTCAGAATGGAGTTCCCCATTGCGTGATCATACTGAATACAATGACTTAATATACTGTGAGGGGAGTTTATCAAAACTGGAGCAGATAGGATCTGGAGCAGTTGCCCACGGCAATCAATTCGCTTCTAGCTTTCATTTTTCAAAGTGTAACAAACTGAAGAGAGAAGCTGATTGGTTACTAAGGGCAACTGCTCCAGATTCTGTCTGATCCAGTTTTGATAAATTCCCCCAAGTGTGTTTGTAATTAAATTTGATTTTAACTAATACATTTTTTATTAACTTAACAATGCAAACCTGTTAAACCCCCTTCCTGGCCAGGCCATTTTTCAGTATTCAGCGCTGCAGTACTTTGAATGGCGATTCGCAACGATATGTAACATGTGTAGCGCAATTGTTGCATTCGCGCCTTGGCGCACCCGACGCGTATTTACGTTTATATATATGTGTATACGTGGGGGTGGGGGACTTAAATTTTTTTTTTTTTTTTACATTTCTTTATATGTAAATTTTTTTCCCATAATTATCCTTAGGGTAACGGGAGGACACAAACTAGCGTCCTCCCATCACCCAGAAGCACTCACCTCATTGTTCTCCTTTAACGTTATTGCTATCACATAGGAGACTAACAATCCCCCTATGTGATTGCACAGGCACACTGACAGGTCCTCTTTATGGAGACATTAGGGGTCCCTAAGACCCTAGTGTCACCTGGGGACCCCCAAAGAAGCTGATGAAGCAGAGATATGCTTCATCAGTTTCTTCTCTGGCTATAGCAGTCAGAGGAATAACAGCTGAATGCGGAAGTAATGTATTACACATCACTTCTGCATTCAGACGTCGGAGGAATCAGCAAGGAGGAAGATGCTGATCTCGGACGGCAAGGGGTTGAAGAAACAATTTGCATGGATGATATTGTAATGTTATAAATACTGCTGCTAAATGCAAGGTAATAAGTAAGGGGGTAGGATTACTAAAGATACAGCAGACTAGTTTAAAGTGAATTGTAACAAACAGAAATTTCCTCTGAACCTTGTTAAAGCATATCTAAACCCAAAACCAAAAATGTTACAATGCAACTTACCTCAGATGAGATGCCAGCATTTGTTTTTTTCCCCTTTATTTGCACCTGATGATTCTGCGAATAACACACTTCCTGTCCTTGTGTGGCTACAGTCACTCCTCCACTGTATCTATGAAGGGAGCCATGGTTGTCACCTGGGCTGGACTTAAACATGTCTGCCTTTGCTCATCTCCATTACATAGGGCTGGAGGGATTAGTAGTTTACAGAAGAAAGATAAAGGTGTATGTGCTATCTGTTGAGCTCAGATGAAATGACAAGGACACAGAATTTCTGGAAACATGAACAGGTATTTTATGTATTTAGCCTGGAAAAAAAAAGAAAACTAATGCAGCTGCCACACCTAAGTACTGGTAAGCTGCAATATATTATAGGTTTTGGGTTTAGTTATCCTTTAACAGAACAATGCTCCCTGGGACTGCTAAACAGGTCACAATCAGACCTTACTGTATGTCAACACACAATACTTATACTTGTATTTGAAAGGCATACTATATTTAAGTATTTACAGAGACACAAAAGCAATAAAGCACATAAAAAAACATATTTTTATATTTTTTCTTCACAGTGGATGTTTGGACAGTCTTACTTCATCTCTTTCACCATAAAGGAAACCGATTGTTTGAAAACACAGAAAGATGTAATCCTTGGCAACTGCAAATCTCTCGAGGACCACAAAGCTGTAAGTATAATATTCTCAATACAGTTGTGACTATGGAACTCGCATGTAGTGAAAGTGACAGTAACCAAACTTTCACTGCTGGTAAATCTTCACAGTGAATGTGACAATAACAGCGTTATTAAAAAAACGGCACAATGTGATAAATGAGTTATAAACAAGATTGCTCACAATTGTTTTTACCATAAGGAGAGGGAAGATATAACTGTCAATTAACCAAGCTCTTAGCTTTCTTTCATCCTGACATCACCTTTGTTATGCAGCGGGGTTTTTTCAGTGACTGTTATCAGGCAGGAAATAAGATGACCTTACAGCCTGACACTGCTACACTAATAGCAAAATAGAAATAAAGTATAAATAAAGCCTCCTGCATGACAGTTTCAGGACTTGTTCATACCGAATGCTGTGCGTTCCAGAGCGGTAGCTGCTGGAACGCACCGCAATCCATCACAAAACTTCCCCCTGCGTTCTGGGGCGGGAGGGGGCGTGCACTGAATTCAATGTCACCACTTACACGCCCCACTTCAATGTCACCACTTGCACGCAGTGCGATCGGACGCGTGGCAAAACTTTGCCTGTGTTCCGTTCAACTGCAAACGCAAAAAATAGAGCAAGCAAAATTAAGTAAAAAATGGTCTTTTGTGAAAAGCAGTGGGGCACACAGGGACACCCAAGGCATGAATTTAGGTCATGCTGAGTCAGCAGGACTCAGCCAAAATCCAATAGTGTATGGTCAGCTTTACTCCTTCCTCCTCGCAGACACTGCAGCTCACAGTTGGAGTGTTTCAGTAACAGAGGCAGTGCTGTCAATCCAGAAAGCAATGGGCAGGACTAGGTGTGGCCAGGTGCTGACTGACAAACTACAGGCTTCTGAATTAGCTGTAGCAATGCTAATGGCTACACCCCCTGCAACATTTGTACATCTCATTGTGCAATCAGGCCCAGCCTACATGAGTGTGGCAACTCTGCTCTGAACTCAGAAGCATTGCAGCATCGTTGTCACACCATCACAAGAGGCTGCATTAGGTGGACCTTACTGGCAGGTCAACAAGTATTTGTGAGACTTTGCAGGGGGGGCTAAGAAAAAACTGTAAGTGTAGATGCACTTATAATTAAGTGCTGCAACAAATATTTTTTCTTTCATGGGATTTTTTCTTTCATGGGAGGCCATAGTTCTACACAAATACACTGGCGACCCCACACCTGGATGTCTTAGAGCTGGGCTTGTTAATATAGGCCCTTTGCTTGGTTAGTCTGTGGTGGATTTCCTTTATTTCAGCTATAGCAGCTAAACATCTGTGCCATATCTTTTATATTTGGGGGGGCGCAGGTATTGTATGTTTTCTGGTTTCAGTTATTTTCTGTGTTTTGTAGCCATGTGTGTAACCAGAGCCACACCTGGTTACACACATAACATCTCTGTAGTTATTATGGTTGCTGGTAGGTAAAATTATAATGCTGGCCTGGAAAGTATTCCGCAAAGAAGGGAGCAATGCAAGACTATTTGGTGAGAAGGGCCCTTGGGGCTATCGTTTCACAACTGACACAAACACAATACATAAAATATAGATTCATGATGTTATACATTATAGATGAGTTTTAAATGCCAAAGTTCTACGCTCTTCACAACAACAGAATTAACTATGTTTGTTCTTGCAGCATGTTGGCTTCTGCAGTGGTAGTGCATACTTCACATTTGAAAGAAAGGAAGAATATTCTGTGTCCTGTGAAATCTACAACCCACGGGTAATTACATTTACTATTATTATTTCAAAAAAATTAGTCTATGTTTGTCTGTTATTTGTTGCGCTACAAACATTTAAACATTGGTATTATATAAGCTTTACATCAGTTATATGTTGTTATTTATTCATCCCAAGTTCTGACCTATAAAACAGACCTATAGACCTATAAAACCTATTTGTAAACAACAGAGAGGGGAATTGATAAAAACTGGAGCAGACAGAATCTGGAGCAGTTGTGCATGGACTCTAATCAGCTTCTCTCTTTCATTTTCAAATCTGAACAAAACAAACTGAAGGGAGAAGCTGATTGGTTGCCCTGGGCAACTGCTCCAGGTTTTGTCTGCTCCAGTTTTAATAAATTCCCCCCTCTGTGTCATTAAAAAGCCCAACTCCGGGCAAAATGTAAAAATAAAAACATAGTCCCCAACAGGTGCTTAAGATAAAAAAGCAGCTTGGGCTGTTATACTCACTCACCAGAGCTGTCACCCACAGTAATACATTTTTACCACAAGATTCTTTCTATCTTCCTGACTGAGGAGATCATATGAGTACAGTGTGTTTTGGTCTGGCCCCCTGAAGGGGCATCAGCATGGTGCACTTCATTCATGTGTAATGATGCAGAGAGTGGTACTGAAGTACACAAGGTACACAAGGGGGGTGCGGCCCGAAACTGGGTGACACCATTGGAGGGGTGACACCAAAATGACTGACAGTCATTTTGATGTTACCCCCTCTAAAAAGTCAGGCACTTGGTCATTGTCAGTGTCAGGAGAGAGGAGGGGGACCCAGCAACATACCTCATCCTGCCGGGTGAACGTCCCCTACTCTCTCTGCCGGCGTCCATCACCAAGATGGCCACCGGCAGGCGTCAATTAGATGGTCGCGCATGTGCGATGACGCCATCACGCATGTACAATGACGTCACGGTGGGGTGTCGCCCGGTCTCCACCCTGGGTGACACCTGCCTGCTTTTTGCATCCCCAATGTGTAGCACTGCAAAACAAATAAACAGATGTTTTTGCCACAAATGACATTATATAAAAAATAGATAATTTACAACAAGCTGATATTTTTTATATAGCTATAGCACTATGCAATTATAAATTATAATAATGATATGTATTGAATTTGATCAAAATTGTATTTGTTGTTACTTTGTTATTTCTTTTTTTAATTCAAGCATAATGATGATCACCACCATCATCACCACAAACATGGCGCTTGCAATCAAAGAAAGGAAGGTGCCCAAGTGGAGGAATCGAAAGATAATGCTGGACACAGTGAAACAGGGGCAGGAGAGGCAGGGCCGGGCCAGGCAGGAGCAGATGCTCCAGGACCACAGGAAAGATGTGAACTTGGTAAAGGCAAGCATTGTGGACATCACAGAGGTCACAGACATCACTGCCATCCTGGTCATCATCACCATCATTCTGGACACCACCATCATCATCCTGATCGTCCTCATCACCACCACAATGATCATGATCACCGAAACCATTCTCACCCACATGATAAAGCTCACCACCATCATGACCATCACAACCATACCTCAGCTGAACACGGCTCTTCATCAGAAGAAACCACTGATAAGCAACCTTTTAAGAGAACAAAGGGATCAGTCCAAGTTTACCATCTTGATGAGGAAACACCAAGTACACCAGTTCCAACCATCCTCCGGCTGCCTAGACCAGGGAAACATATATATGAAATTGCTGATTTCCCAAATGAACCATCATCCCTGGAAACATGTCCCAGCCCACCAAACTCTAAAAGCTCATAATTTGCACAGAAAGGCAAAAGGCATAGAGTATGTTTTGGAAAACAAATAATAAACATGACTTAAATCTTGGTTTTTGGCTCATATTTTTTAAGACGTATTTAGTATGATTATTACAGTTTTTCTTGTTAAATATTTTTACTGAAAGATGATTTTCAAAAGTAGCAATTGCAGAAAAAGAGTTACAGCGATGAATAATTTTTATACAGGTATCTCATTGGTAAACTGCACATGGTACACAAAAAGGTACAAAATACATTGCAGCAAGGCCCATAAGGTGGCACAAAAAAACAGAAACTCTAAAAGTAAACTTTTGTCCCACAAAAAGAGAGGAATTAAATGTATGTACACCAACGCTAGAAGTCTGGCAAATAAAATAGAGGAGCTTGAAATTAGGTTAATTGAAGAGGACTTCGACATAGTGGGTATAGCGGAAACCTGGCTGGACAGCACGCATGACTGGGCTACTAATATAGAGGGGTATAACCTGTTTAGGAGAGACAGAGGTGGGAGAAGAGGGGGGGGTGTTTGCATTTACGTAAAAAATAATCTATATGTGCATATAAGGGACGATATCACGTCAAATAATGGGGAAGACGTGGAAACTCTATGGCTGGAGCTAGATATG